ATGTCAACTTAAGTTTAGAATCTCATTCAATAGTCACTAGATTCTTTGTTGTATTTTCGACTGTTGAATAACTATCTAACTGTTATAAATGGTAAGGTGGGAAGCACACAGAAAGCAATCTTGCTGCCTTCAAATAAATCTTATTGGTTTGGAATAAGAAAGGCAGCATGTAGACCCCTCAGTTGAATAAACAAGCTTCTTTTCTTCAGGAATGCTTGCTTTGCATGAGCATTGACTGACAGACTGGAGCTATTCACTTAGGTAGACAGACATTTCAACATGAAAAAAGTGAGACTGTTGCTTCTCAAAAAACAGCATGGAAGTAGCCAACTTTATGCCAAAGGCAAGATTCAGTCTTTCAGGAAAACATTAGGATTCGGAAGGCTTTTTACTCATCATGATGAACTTATCAGTTCTTAAGAAAAGAATGATAGTGATATTATCTAGTACGTTTTGTTAAACAATTTTTGCTATGTATCCCTGGCTGCTCCAAAACATGCTACATAGGCCAGGCTGGCCTCAAATGTGTAATGTTTCTACTACCTCTGCCTTTGAAGTGCTGGAATTACAAGTGTGCACTATTCTACCTTGCCATAAGTGTGATTTTTTTATGTAGCATATTTTCAAGATATGCATAGTTGTATACTAGTGTTTTATAATAATGAAAGTTTGATATGAAAGCATATGTAAGTAAAAGAAGCATTCAACTAGATAGACCAATGAACTTTAATCTAACAAAGTACTAAAAGGGGTTTTTGATATTATTTTAGATTACAAATGCCAACTAATCTATAGGAAACAATTTCCTGAGTTTTGGTTTGCTACCAAAGAATATCAAATAATATGAAAGCACTGAACTATTGGTGTTGATCTTTCATTGCAGTTATAAGAATAAAAGCTTGAGAAAGGGCTGGGGTCCCAAGTGAGGGTCCCGAGTGAGTGGTATCCCAAGGTAAGGGACCACGTGGGAGAGCATAGAGCAAAACAGGTGAGCGTATAACACTCCAGGCAGATAGAGCCTAAATGAGGAGTTTATTTAGAAAGGGGAGTGAGGGGGAAGGGAAGAGACATAGAGCCACCGGGAACAGGAGAGGAGAGGGGGGGGGGCGGGGGGGGGGAGAAGAAAGGGGTAACTGATGGACAACTGAAAGCAAGAGAGAGCGCAAAGAGAAAGCAAAAGGGAGCATAAGTGAGCAGGGGTCTGACATTTAAAGGGGTCCTTTGCACCTGCCTGCAGACTAGTACTCATAGAACCCTGGGCTGACCAGAGTACTGCCTGAGTGCGTTCTGCCAGGTGACAGGGGGCAGGCCAGCGTAATGCCTGAATCCTTACAATTGCTATGAAGTGTTCAAGAAAGACTTCAAGTACTCTTCTGCTTGCTAGCATTCTTGTAAGCATGTTTTAGCTACATATTCAGAGTGCCATGTTGTAATAGTTTAAATATAGAAGCAGATATGAGAATCTATCTCATAAGTAAGCCGGGCATTGAAGAGACTCAGTGGTAAAGTATTTGCCCAGCATGCATGTGGTCTTGAGTTCAGTCCCAAACACTGGAAGAGACAGGAGGGAACAAAGGAGAGGCAGTGCCACTCTTCCTGCTAAAATAACGGTTTTGGGGCTGGAGAGATTGCTCAGTGGTTAAGATACATGCTACTCTTGCAAAGGACAAGCACACACATCAGGCTCCTTACGGCTGCCTGCAATCCCAGCTTCAGGGGATCAACACCTGTAGATCCAGGGAATCTATAGGCCCCATATGAATATGCGTGCTCGTGCACACACACACACACACACACACACACACACACACACACAGACACACACACAGAGGGAGAGAGAAAGACTCACAACTGAAACAGTAAAATTGTTTTTTAAAATGAAATAATTGTGTATAGAAATATGTTAAGTATGTGAGTATGAAAAAAGCATTTTTTAATGAGTTAGTAACTAAAGTACCTTTAACTTTCTAATCTTTCAATATTAATAGATGTTGCTATTTTAAAAGTACTTCTTAAGATATTAATTTTTTTTTTTAAGATGGAAAAGTAAGGGCCACATCTTTGACAGCCTGAGATCAGATTACTCTAAGTGACTAGCTACCTGCCAGAAGCAAAGAGCAGCTTGGATATTTGAGAGTTTCTTTTCATACACAATGTCTGTGATCAAAAATAACCATGAAATAAGTAACAAAAGAGTTGGTGCCCCTTAAGAGTAAGAGGAACAGTTAGCACAGAAACAGACAGTGAGACTTAGGACACTTTAATTGTTGTAATATTAATTGAGATTCATTTAATAGAACTGAGTTATGGAACTATCAGATGCATGTCTTTAAACATAAGATAATCATAATTAAGCAATTAAAGACAAAGTTAAGACTTTGAGACGATGAGAGGTAGAGAACTGTAATGTACCTTACCTGGAGTAAGAGCTCCATGAATGGATTGTAAATTGGCTCACAAAGATACAGAAAATAATGCAAAAGTGGTCAACACAGAGCTGAAGGCAGATGTGGGTAGATGATAGTAAAAATTAAAACTTTATAAAAGTAGAGACAGAGACAGATAGAGGTGATGAAAGATTTGGCTAGATGTGTTAAAACATCTACTTATGTGTGTACTTGGGATGCCAGGCAGAAGATGTATACAGTTGAGGAAGGATGATAAAAGTGTTCATTTTGAATATTTCAAAATTGACAGACGAATCAAACTATTTAGGGGAAAACTGCGAATACTGTTATAATTTTTAAAATGGTGGGAAGAAGTCACACCATACAACAGGGATCACAAGGGAGGTTTATTGGAAGAGGACAGAGAGGGAGGCAGAGAGGGGACAGAGACCAGTCCCTGGGGACAAGAATGGTGAAAGAGAAAGAGAGAGGTGGACAAGGCCCACCTTGTGTAAGGGAATATAGCAAATGTGCACAGGGGGTGCTCTTAGTGGCTGCAGCTGAGGACGTATCCTGCCAGAACCCCAAGGACAGGCCAGTACAGATGCCTGAAAACTAACAAATACCACACATAATAAAATTTATACTTAACCAACCTGTATGAAATGAAAGACAACAAGAAGATCTTTAAAACCATCTAAAGATAAAAATGTAAAAGGCAGCTGATTTCTGTATTGACAGGACCTCTGTTTCCACATGACAAAGGGACATAACTGTACACATAACATTCTAGTGTAAAGTATGACCACCAAACTTGAAGGTGAGTGAAGGCATTCTCCACACAAACAGCCCACGTTAGTCACCAGCAGACACTCACTAAGGTAACACTGACAAACGTTCAAGTAGAAAGAAGTGATCAAAGAAGAAATGAAAATAATAATTTACCATATGCATACACATAAACACAAATAAATATCAATTGTATAAAAGGAGCACTCACTCTTAAGAGCTTACATAGAGCATTAAACTTGGCATGAAAAGTAATGTATAATGCGTAAAGGGACAGATGAACTTCTAATTTATACTAATGCTATGAGCCATTTGATGTGAGTTCTGAGAATTGAACTTGGGTCCTTTGGGAGAGTAAGAAGTGCTCTTAGTTGCAGAGCAATCTCTCCAGTCCTCCTAAGATCCACTTTCAATTACAACACCTTGTGATGAGACATAATGGCACACACCTGCAATCCCAACAGTTGGGAAGTGGAGGCAGAAGCGTGAGTTCAAGACTAGTCTCAGCTATACAACAAGATTGAGACCAGCCTGGGTTACACAAGGCCCTTTTTAAAAAATGTTTTAAATTAATGATTGCTCAAAAGGCATGTTTTTCTCCAAGGAGAACAAAACTAAGAGAGTCTTATAAGAATGTTTAGCCCAAAATAATAAAATTTTATCAAAGACAAGAAAAGAGCTAAGCATGGTTGTACATGACTAAGAACTCAGGGCTCAGGAACCACAGCCAGGAGGATTGCCAGAACTTCCAGGCCAGCTTGGTCTACACACACAGTGAGCAAGCTGGCCTGTACCACATAGTAAGACCCTGTTTCCAAACAAACGAAAAGGGGGTAGGAACAAAAGAACCTAAGGATGTAGTTCAGTTCTAGAGTGCAAGCCTAGCACAGAGTCCTGAGTTTAATCCCTAGAGAGGACAAGGAAAGAGAAAATAAACGATAGAGGATGAAAAAATATGAATGGTATTTAGTTGATTTAAAGATAATTATTCATATTCTCCAGAATGATTTTACATCTTTTAATTATATGACTTAGTCTTTAACACGTTTTTTAAAAAGACCTCATGTAACCCAGGCTGGCCCGAATCTTGTCGTATAGCGGAGGCTAGTCTAGACCCTCCTCTCCTGCCTCTGCTTCCCAAGTGTTGGGATTGCAGGTGTGTGCCATTATGTCTAATCACAAGGTCTTGTAACTGAAGTGGGTCTTGGGAGGACTGAAGAGGCTGCTTTGCAGCTAAGATTAAAAAGACAGAAGATAAGGGTCTGGAGAGCTCTCAGTGAATACTGTAGCAGCCTCAAATTTATTTCTCATACCCCTTTTAAACCCAACGCAAAAGGGAAGGGGGCAAAAGACTTCCTTTCCATGGTTCAAGGGACAAACAAGCATAATCACCTTCTTAATTCCCAATACATCTAGTAACCATGCCTTTGACCAAGCATCCTGTTACTTGATCAAAAACAAGCTTGAACTCTCCGATCTTAAGTCAAGATGGAATGCAGTCACTGTGGGTCTCCCACAGAGAAACCCTGCCTCAAAAATAAATAGTTTTTTTCTTTCTTTGATATTTATATGTAAGAATATAGTGACAATTTCTCAATTGTTGCTTGTAGGGAGTGTCTTAATTTCTCCCTCATTATCTCTGTGTGTGTATGGGTGCATGCACATGCAAGTGTGCTTGCATGTGTGTGTGGGTGAGTGGAAGCCAGAGGTTGACATTGGTTTTGTTTTTCTCACCCTCCGATTTTTTTGAGACATGATCTCCCACTGAAACCACCCACAGTGCACAAATTAGGCCAGGCTGTCCTGCCAGTGAATTCCAGGGATATGCCTGTTCCTGTTCCTCATCCTGAGACTAAAGATGTACACTGCCGCACCCCTGGCTTTTTATTTGGCTATCAGGTCCTCAGGCTTGTATGGTAACTACCTCAGCAATTGAACAATCTCCATAGCTCTGAATTTCTCCTTGAATCCAAAACTATCCTTGAAAGATAGTTTTGCTGATAAAAGAATTCTTCCTTTGCATTTTTTATTTTGAGAAATACTGATTTTAACTAACTAGAAAATGGTAGACTCAGACAGCAAGATAGCTCAGGGGGTAAAGGTGCTTTCTATCAAGCCTGACAAAACTGAGTTTGATCTCCTGGATCTATGTGGTGAAAGGAGAGAGAAAACTCATGTGATCTGTCCTCTAGCCTATACGTGTGAATCATAATATACATACATGTGCTCTCTCTCTCTCTCATACACACACACACACACCCTCTCTAAAGGGATTGAAGTTCACAAAATGGCACCGCAACGTGGCTAATAAGAACTTCCACTTAAAACTTAACAAAACCTTAATAAAGGGTTTTAGAAACAAAAAACAAAACAAAACAAAAAAAAAAAAAAACCCACAAAAACAAGAGACAAGCAAGGCTTCTTGGTAACATTTTTCTTGATTGGGCTCTGTTTTGCTATAGACAAACAGAGATTTGCAGGGCTCCTTTAAGAGAGATTTCCTGACTGCTTTTAAGAAGCACTGCCAACAATTCAATGGTGTGTATGAACAGCTGGAGAGAGTAGCTAGATATGGTGGCACTCAGGAGGCAGAAGCAAGCAGATCTCTGTGATTTCAAATTAAACCTGGTGTACAGAGTGAATTCCAGGACAGCCAAAGTTACACAGAGAAACCCTGTCTCAGAAAATGTAAAAACAACAGTAAAAGAAATAGAGTAATAAAAAAGTCAAGTGAAGATGGAAAGCACACAAAGAGTCTGGATACTGTATGCTATGATGTTGTCTTTAAATTGCTCAATTGCTAAGGAAGAAATAATTTCTACAATACACTTGATTATAAATACTGCTAAATTAATCCAATTTATATATTTTAAAAATGCCTTGATTTCAAAATTAAGTCTAAGGACAGTTTACTGAGGAAGAGGATTTCTATTTTTGTTTCCACAGAAAATGAAAAGCTGTGGATTCCTTCCAGACTAACATGGTTTGATCAAACAAGACCCCCAGAAGAAGTGTCCCAGATGATCCAACATTCAAAACACCTGGGACAAGGCAACCTTACAAACCACTACAGCCAGGATTTCTGAGTCTTCTTACGGTCCCCATGACAGCACCCCTTACCAGCAGGAAGCAGCTTGAAAGAAACACTCCCAAATTCCCAAATATCGTTTACAAATGTTTGTTTTCATTTATATGGTGTTGATTATAAATGGTTAATGACCACAACCAATCTCGTTAACAGTAAAAAGGGGATTATGGTATAGATATGAATACTTTGTTTTGGAATGGATTTTCATTTATTGATACAAATTTAAGGTCAATTTTGTGATATGTATATTTCTCCTCTTGTTTAGGTATTGTGTTTATATAGCTCACTTAAAAATGTAATGTATAATTTAGTACAAATTTTAGATAGTTACCTATAATAGTCAAAACTTATAATTAAGTTAGTTAGGTTTTCTAGATATACAGAGATATATGTGAGATGGATAAATATTCTTCAAACCTTTTAAAAACCTACAGAATATGGCATGTAAAATGGTTTAGGATTTTTCTTAACAATGAGGTACAATGGCTCCTGGCAACACCACCTGCGTCAGAAGAAACGCGTTATAAAGTTTGCTTTCAATATGACAAGACTAGCCATTTGGGCAAGATACTGCTCTTGTCTGGACTGTTTGACTTTATGCTATATAAACTGGACATACAGGACCCACAGGAAAGTGACTACTGATACAAGATGGACATTGCTACAGGATTCTTGCTTCAAGGAAGAGTCTGTCAGACAGTCTACAGGACAGAGAAAAGTGACTGACAAACTGCCAATAAGGTGGACAGTTTAAAGTTTCTTGCTTTGCTGAGAAGTCTTCCAGACACACTATGACCTATAGGCTGAAGATAAAACATTACAGAACTTTGGGTGACTAACCATGGGAGTTGTCTCTGTTATTTCTAGAGTTTATATACTATCCTTCTGTGGTCTTTGATGGAGTTGAAGAGCGGTAGTTATGGTTATAGTTTTCCTTAATTAGGATTAAAGGTAAGTTACATATAGGACTTTAGACTCACAAAGATAGATATCATCTTTGATGGAATATTTTCTTTAAATCTTGATAAATGTTAATGGACTAAATATTGTTAACTATGGCTCTTATTTGATAACTGTTTTGTCATATGTAATTTTACTATGTTAAAGTTAAAACCCTTCCTTTTATTTTAGACAGAAAAGAGGAGATGATGGGAGATAGCATTCTGTAAATATGTTTCTCTTATTGGTTAATGAATAAAGCACTGTAGGCCAATAGGAAAGTAAGATAGGCGGGACTAGGAGGAAGGAGGAAGTAGTAGGGAGGAGGTTCAACATGTAGGACCAACAGAGCAGAACTCTGGCCCCTCTCTCCGGTAAGATAACACCACGTGGAAATACTTACATGAATAGAAATGGGTTAATATTTAAGAAAGAGCTAGTCAATAAGAAACTAGTAACTGGCCATCAGCATTATATCTAATACAGTGTCTCTGTGTGTTATTTGGGGTTGTTGTGGCTGTGGGACCAGGCCGGCAGGGAAACCTGCTCGTAACAATATATACATGTCATCTTTCTTAGAAGATTTTATTTTATATTTATGGATGTTTTGCCTACACACATGTATACTATATATATGACTGGTACCTGTGGATTCCAGAAGAGGGTATTATATCCTTTGGAACTGGAACTATAGACAATTGGGAACCATCATGTGGGTGCTGGGAATTAAACACATATTCTCTGCTTTACCCTCTGAGACATCTCTCCACACCCTCCCTTATCTTCCAATCTGAAGTTGGCAACACTAGGGGGGCTGAGAAGATGGCTCAGTGGTTAAGAGTGCATACTGCTTTTTCAGAGCAGAGGACTGAATTTTGGTTTCCGGCACCTACATCTGGTGGCTTTCAACCCCCTGTAACTTTAGCTCCAGGAAATCTTAATGTCTTCTTGATTTCATGGGCATCTACACATATATGCAGACACTCACCTCCTACATGTAATAATGTAAAATGAAATAAAATCTTAAAGTTAGCAAAGCTTAGTAAAAAGCACAGTTTCCCCTGTAGTTTCTACCTGACTTAGATGTTTTAAAAAGGGTAACGGAAGGCTGCAGAGGTGGCTTAGGGGGTTAAAAGTTTTTGCTGTCCCTGCAGAGGACTGCATTAGGTTCCTATCACTCATGTCAGGCAGATTACAACTCTTGTAACTCCAGCAAGGGATCCAACATTAATGTGCACATATTGAAACACACACGTGCACGCACGCGTATACACACACACACACACACACTTTTTTTTAAAAAAGAAAATGGTAAAAAACTGATGCCTGAAACTTGTTTTAATGTTATTATTTATTTAATTCTTGTATGTGTGTGTGTGACCACATACATGTGGACACCATCAAGCCATTTCTCCAGTACCCCCCCTTTTTTTAAGTATAAAGCCTTCCACAAAATTTGTCAAGAATATTCTTTATTGTACTGAAATAGGATCAGCATGGAGAATAATGGGTAAAACTCTTACAGCACTCCTTTAATCTAATTTGGCCTCTATCCCCCTTGATAATAATTCATTGTGAAATAAAATTATGATTTCTAAAGGGAAGCTTCAGTTTTTATTGCAGTTCTCGCTCTGCTGTTTTTGAGATGTTGGTAAAGTATGAACAGTTTGCTTACATGCCACCGTCAGCATTTCTGGTTTTATGAAGAGACTTGGACGTTAGTAAGCACATCACACATCTGTCTGGGGACCTGTGGATGAGCAGTGGTCAGGGATTGTGCCATCTGAAGACAGGACTCTCACCTGAATTGATAAGTCCATCCTCTCACAGGGGTAGTAAGTGTCTCCAGACACGAAGAAGCTGCACCCTGATGCATACGCAGCATTAGCTTATGCAACGGCCTATCAGTTCTTGCCGTCTCCCAAGTTTTGTCTTCGGTTACCTGAAAAAACACAGGGTTTGTGCATAACACAAACCCTAAGTGTGATGATCACATTACTCTGACAACAGTGTCGTGGTGCAAAATACGTTAAATGGGCCCTCGCCTGAAGAAAGCAGGTTGTAACTCTTCTGCTAGAGCAAGATAAATGTGCAAAGACAGCTGATTCAAATTCAAGGAAGACGTTCACATGATTCCCTTTCATGCAGTTAAAGCAACATGCCTAGGTAACTAACATGTTTCTGAGCCCTGTTCCTGCCCATACAAGCAAGCTGCCAGAAACAGGATAGGAGGCTTCTGAGAGTTAACATTTTGCAGTTGCTGTTTTGCTGTTTTGAGGTATCGGTTGCCATAAACTGAATACCTGGATCTGTTGGCACGGTGGCTTTGCTTGTCATGCCTCTCCTGTTTTTATAGCTTCCTGTGGACGTCAGCTATTAATCTCACTAGGCTATTTGTCAGAATCAGCTGTGTTGTCTTGCTTTCAGCATTCTGCCTTCTCAATGATCCACTCTGGTGAGTTCAGGGATGATTGACTTATCATGCTTAACTGAGTGGGGTTTCTTGGACACACAGATTTAACTTTATTATACTCAGGGGTTTATGGATATCTGACTGTCCTGTACTGGTATTCCTACAGCTGTGACACAGGTTTTGGAGGCAGTGAATGTGATTTGTTTCCCTCATCTTTTTCTTTCCTGTTTGTACACCGTATAACTTCACTGACACATGTTCAGTTTGCTAAGTCCTCCTTCAGATACCTCAGTCTTCTTAAGCTCCTTTTATGGAATTTCCTTTTCATAGTTTACCTTTTGTGTGCTTCTAATCTCATGTTCATATGCTTTTTATTATGTCATTCACCCCCCCCCCCCACCTAGCCATGTTTTCTTCTTTTGTTTTATGTGTGGCCTTACAGTTTAGCTCAGACTGGCCTGGAATTCATGATTCTCTGGCCTCAGCTCACAAGTATTGGGATTACAGGTATGTGTCACTATGTCTGGCTTTCCCTCTAAATGCCGAAGCTTTATTTCTTTAGTTGATTGGATATACCAACAAAGGGTGATCTGAGGCCTTTGAATGGTAAATGAGTGACATTATCTGGACTTTTAGGGACCATTTGTCAGTCAGCTTCCCTCATTGATTATGGGCTATGCTTTCCTGTCCAAAAGTCTCTGTTAATACATGTACACTTTAAATTACTTCATTGATAACTGTGGACACCTGGTTTTCCCCCTCCACACGATTGTCACTCTTTGTTACTTTCTTAGAGGCTGTTTGATCCTCTGCTTGGATGACTTAATTGCCAGCTAATGCATGGGAGACCTTTTAGAAATGCCTTAAATCAACAAATCTTTCACCAAAGTACACACACACACACACAAACACACACTAATATACATGCATGCATACACTCACACCTATTCAGATGCACACATATACACAGATACACATGCATATTCAATTGAAAACAATAAAACATATCTTAAAAGCATTTTTGTGATGATGCTACTATGGCTCTATTTTTTTACTGTTTTCAAAAATTCATTTTGTTTTATGAGTACAAAGTAAATGTTCTAGAGGTACAAGACGTCTGGGGATATCACATCGAATGGACTGTTTTTGGGTTTCAGTATTTTATGAGGTAGCTATTGAGAGCTATACCCCCACTTAAGCAAAAGGTCTTGGAGGCAAACAACTCTGTCAAGAGTACAAAGTATAAACTGGATGCGCTTGTGCATGTCTGTAATCTAAGGACTTAGGAGACAAAGAAAGCAGGGTCAGGAGTTCAAGGCCATCCTCAGGTACACAGAGAGTTACCTGTGTGAGACCCTGTCTCAAAAAACAAAAATGGGGACTGGAAAGATGACTTAGCAGTTAAGAGCATACACTGCTCTTCTTGAGTACTAGACATGATTCCAACATCCAAGGGGTGGCTCCCAGGTATCTGTTCCCCCAGTTCCCAGGGATCCAATGCTATATTCTCTCTGAGAGCACTAGACATGCATGTAGTGCATAGACATACGAGCAGGCAAAACATCTATACTCATAAAATATAAATAATCTTAAAACACAACAATCAAATAGAGTGGTAAGTGCAGAAACTTTTCAAAAAACACCAAAAGGTTTATGAATTACTAATTGCAGTAGGTATCTTTACAAATGATACTCTATTTTATTTATGATATAAAAAATACTAATTTTTCTATCTACTGCAGTGGTTTTATCATTGGATTTTTTATTTAATTTTATTATTGTGTGTGTATGTAGTTCCCCCTCCCTCCTCTCCTCCTGCAACCCTATTGCCCCCTCCTCCATCTGCTCCGTGGAGAGGGTAAGGCCTCCCCTAGGAAGTTTACTAAGTCTGTTCCATCATCTTGTTGAGGCAGGACCAAGGCACCTCTCCACCCCCACATCCCTATGTCTGAGCTGGGCAAGGTATCTCTCCATACAGAATGGGCTCCACCAAGTCAGTTTGTGCATTAGAGTTAGATCTTGTACCCACTGCCAGTGGTATCATATATGGTCCCGGTCACACCATTGTCACCTTTATCAAGGAATACTTCATTTATTCAGTTTGCTGAAATATATTGAAAGGACACAAACAATTAGCATGAAAAATTAAAAAGTGAAACATTTGAAAGTCAAACATAAAGTTTCCCATGAGCACCGTGTCAGTACTGGCTCTATGATTCTGTTTACGTTTGTTTGTGTGAATAATCATGAATTAATTGTTGGTGCTGATAGCTTCCTCACTTTGACCCATTCTTGATGTGTTAATATTATACCGCAAACCTCGGATGCTCAGTTATACGACCTGGGTTCTTTAATGCATGAGCTGATGTATCTGTTTGGGAAGGTGGCTCCTTGAGATCATTTGCTTCAAGTCCTCAAAGCCAATTGTCTTGTTTAGGCAGACCAGACTTGGGCGATTCCAGTCTCTACTCCCTGCTCTGCCAGGCACTGCCCCAGCAGTAATGCTAACAATAATGGTGTTTGCAACACTAGTATCCTCTAGGTCAGGCCCTATCCAGGCCTCTGTCTCCCCTCTCTCTGAATTCTCTACTTTTCCAGGGAAGGCTAACTGGGTCTTTACCAAGGAAGTTTGAACTAGCATCCTTTGTAGGTGCCTTCTTTCATGGAGATCATTTGCATTTTTGCATTACCCTTTCTACCAATGCTTTCCAACAGATGTAATGCAAAGGGACATATAAAATACATTAGTGCTAACCAAACACAGAAAACACTATGGTTGTTTCCTGCATGGGATCTTATCCCACTGCTCCAAACTCTAGAAAGCTTATAACCCATGGTCTGTAGAGCCCCTTCCACTGGTAAGCTGTGCTTTAAAGAATCTATAAGTCTTCCCTGGAATGCGGCAACTTTTTAGATGGATTTGTTTTTCTTTTTAGGGACTGGAATGTAGAAATTCAGACAAGTGTTTGTGGCCTGTAGGATTCCCCACATTGTCAAGTGGATACAACTGGGGTAACTCTTCCAGATTCATGTTTCCCTCTGAAACACTGTCCCTAATTACTCAGCTATTACTGGTAAATCAGTCATGACCATCCACAACGAGCATTGGATACACGTGTTAGCAGTGGTTACTGTTCAGCCTTTGATAGTATTCTCAGTTCCGTGTGATTACTTGAATCCACTTGTATTACACTGCTCTCCTTAGCATAGGGAAAGGCAACAAGTCAGTTCTCAAGAATAGTTGCCATCATTTGGGAGGGATAAAGTTCCATCCTTTATTCTTAAGTCTTCATCCTTTGTGTGTGTGTAATGTTTTACACGCACGTGGATGTGTGTGGGGAACACACATGAAGGTCAGAATAAAACTTGGCAGAGTTGCTTTCTCCTTCTATGGTGTTGGTCCCAGTTTGTACTCAGGCCAGGGCACAAGCACCTTTTAGCTGCTGGACCATTCTGAAAGCCTAATATTCATCCATTTAAGTCACAGGAACAGCCCTGTAGTCCTTGTTTGCTGTTAAACTTTACACATATGCATATTTGTTTTTGTTGTCTTTTCTATAACAGCATAATATCCTTGAGAGATTCCTGTCCAGGTGTTCATTTCTACCACCACCACTTCCAAACAGCGCTGAATTAAGTAAACTGACCTGTGAAATTTATTTGAAATAACATTTTAAAAACGCGGTTTTCCACTTCATTAACAATCTAGGCACTATTTTTTGGAGCACCACAGATGAGTAACACAGCATATTAACCTTCCTTTTGTATGGCTGGGAAGTCTAAGTTTGCAGAATTAATCCCCAGCAACGCGTTCCTTTATTAATTTGCAGCTGTTGGTTTTATTCCCCTCATACTGACTTGAAGCCTGGCAGCTTGGGCCTAATTAACAAGCACTAAGTATTTAACTGGAAAAGAGGGTGCCTTTTCACAGCTCCCTTTGAAGGGCCCTAAGTCACATCAAGTGGATCCACAAGTGTGGGAAGGGACTATCCCTAGGTAAGCTGCGGGTCGGGTTCCTTTCAACTCTTCCGCGGCCGGCGAGACTTGGCGAGCGTGCGAGCGACTCCGAGGTGCGCACGTGCAGCGCAGGGAGCCATTTAAACCAGCGAATCCGCGTTCTCGGTGCTGACCCTGCAGCGTCTGCCGAGTCCAGGCTGTCCCCCGTCCCTCTCGGCGGCGGCCCGGGCGATCCGGGGCGGCCGCTCTTCCCCAGAGGGTCGCGGGCACAGTTGGGGACAGTTTGGCGGGCGGGCCCCGCGTTTCCTGTGACAGCGCGGCCGGGCGGCTCCCTCCCGCCGCGGCGGGACCATTTCCTGAGCGTCCGGGCGGAGGCGGCCGGCGCGGCGCTACCATCGGCGCGCGGACGCGGGGGTGCGGCCGGCAGCGCGCGGGGACAGACAGCCGGGCGGGCGGCGGCGGGGCGCGGGGCTCGAGCCGCGCTGGCCGCGAGGAGCTGTGCAGACGCCTTGCCGGGAGCGGCAGCTCCGCGCATAGCCCGGCTGGGTCGGCGATGGGCGCGGGCCCGGAGCTGCCTCCCCCACCGCGCGCGGTGAGGTGGACCTGGCCGGGAGGCGGGCGTCGGGCCCCCAGCTCCGCGGCCCCCGGAGCGCTCCGGACTCGCCGATCGCGGGCTCGGTGGCAACATGTCTGTGGCGTTCGCAGCCCCGAGGCAGCGGGGCAAGGGGGAGATCACGCCCGCCGCCATCCAGAAGGTGAGCTCGGAGAGGCGCCCGAGCGCGGGCCGAGGCGGGGTGGCGTAGCGTGGGGCGGGGGAGCGGCCCGGCGGCGGCGGCGGTGGGGGCGGGCGCCGGGGAGCCGGCGGAGCCCTTTGGCGCCTGCTCTGCCGGCACAAAAGCGCCGGCAACCGCCGCCCGATTTCCCCGTGGGGGCGTGCGTGCGCTCGGCAGGGCGGCGCGGGCCCGGGAGGGGAGCGGCCGGCCGGACTCCCGCCCCGCCCCGCCCCGCCCCGCCGGGACCCCTCTCGCGGAAGCCGGAGCCTGGAGTGTCGCGCCGCAAACTCCTCGGAGTTGAGGCCCTCCCGGGGGAGAACTTGGGGACCTTCCGCAGGGGCTCCGGGCTGGCGGGGAAGGAGCCAGTGCGCACCGGGGGTTCGCAGAGCAGCGCCCGCGATCCGTCCCCCTCCGCCCCTGATTGATGCGTCTGAGCGCCCAGGGCAGACGCTGGGGTTCCGGAGGGCGAGCCTGCTCCCCGCCGCCCGGAGTTGGCGGTCTACACCGACGGGCGGGCCATTTGTATTGAATCAGGGTAGAAGCGCTGGGAGCTGCGTCCTCAGAGGAGAGTGCCACCCCAGTCGCCGCTCTGGGACTGCCAACTGGGGACACAAAGGTTCTTTATTATCCTCTGAGCCTGTGTCTAAGAGCAAGGCACTGTTCTCCATCTCAGCGTGGGGGACTTTGAAAAGTCGCTTGTTAAGTTGAACAGTTTGCCTGGAGTAGTCCCATCTTGTCCCCTGCCCTGGAGCAAGGTTGAGGGAGAGAAAGTCAATTTGTTGTACCAATCCGGACACCCTTGCAGACCCGTGCGTTAATGGCCAACGGGTTCTGTTTACTGTCAGGGTCTTTGTAGTGTGGCATTTGACATTTGCCCAACTGTTGCTTTATTTTCTTTGAAGAAACCCAGCCTGGCAGTGCCTGGAAACGCAGTTGCTTTCTCTAGTGGTAGTCTGGTGAACAGCCTCCTTACACACGTGCAGGAAGCATGTTTCTGAGGGATCCGCGCTTTCGCTTTGAACTCTAGAAAAAGTCTGTCGTTTCCTTTTTCTCGGTAGTTTTTTTCTAGTGTGTCTTATTATTTATCTTGAGTGATCTACAAGGTGCTAACTGGTTAGTTTTCATTCTCATATGAGAAGTGAAAAATGGATTAAAACTTTATATTTTATATGTATGTGTGTGTATGTCATGTGCATCACATTTTTTGGAACCGGAGTTAACAGCCAGTTGTGAGTTGCATTGTGGGTGCTGGGAACCAGACCCAGGCCCTCAGCAAGAGCATTAAGTGCTCTCTGGGTTATCTCTCCAGTTCCTCAAAAGTGTATTCCAGCTAAAGTTTTGTTTGCAGTGTCAGACATGATTAGATGGGAGACAGACAAATGGTTGGGGTCGTTTAATGTGTCATGCTTTCCTTGGTTTGAGTATTGAACTGATGGCACTCAGGAGGCAGAGATGGAACTCCCCTACTGGAGGCCAGCCTGGACTACAGAGTGCGTTCCAGGACAACCAGGGCTACACAGAAACCATGTCTGAAAAGACAAACAAACAAACAAAAAACCCAAAAATAAACAAAAAAACCAAACAAAAAATGGAACAAAATATCCTTGGTATGAGAAGTGTTTGTCCTTAGTAATGGAAGGTTATGATAAATGCTCAGGAAATCTCAGTTAATGTTTTTAATTGAAAAATCTCATTAAATGATTGAGATGGTGGTTTTGGTGTTGTCACCTGGTTATTCACGGAATCATGAAAGGTGGGTTCAGGATCAGCAGTACCCTGATCTTAAAGCTCCTACAAACTTAGGTGACTTGTTAGGGACAGCATGCTGGCACTAAAACAATCTTCTATAGGTCTATTTGTTAAGTATCATTGGCAGAAATGAATTATTTAACTCTCAGAGCTAAGGTTGCTTAGATTGTTATCAGATGATAAAATGATGATTAATTTATGTTAGGGGTTTTTGTTTTTTGAGACAGGGTTTCTCTGTGTAATAGCTCTGCCCTGGATCTCGCTCATAGACCAGGCTGGTCTTGAACTCACAGAGATCCGCCTGCCTCTGCCTCCTGAGTGCTGGGATTAAAGGCGTGTGCCACCACCTGGTTTATCTTATGGTTTTTACACTTCCTGAGATACCTTAATATAATATTATAAACTCAAATTCCATTAAATATAATAAATGTATAGAGAACATTGTGTATTGTTTTAGAGAATCATAATTTATACATTTGGAAAAGAAGGTAGCCTGTTACTTCAAGTATTGATGTGTGTATTTCAGTCAGGGTAAGGACAGATATTTTTTCTCCTTTTGTACTACAAAGCATTAGAATGCTCCAAAACCAATTGGGACTCAACCTTTAGCTAGTGGAAACTGTATTTACAGACAGCATAGGGGTAATTAAATGATTCTGTATTCAAAAATAAAAACATGGAGGATGGCTTAGTAGGGTTCAAGGTGAGAACCAGTGCTACAGAGTTGTCCTCTGATCTCACATGCACCTTGGTACTCAGCTGTGTGTGTGTGTGTGGGGGGCATACTCACTAATGCTAAATAAGTGAGAAGGATAATAAGTTTTCCTTCTGAGTTTCAAGAAAAGGAATACTTGGAGTAGGTATTAAACATAATTGATTAAATGTGACACCAGTTCCAATATACAAAAGTAGAGGTTTTTTTTGTCTCCCAAGTTATAATCTGTACATGAACAGACCACTCTAGTAGGTTCCTTTTCCATGTAGATGTGACATTTCTAGAAAAATCTAAACTACAAAAATCAGTGTTGTGGAATTATCTATGTGAATCATGTATAGCATATTTTATAAGTGATTTGTACATTTTAACAGTAATGAAAATTTTTAAGTTAATTCAATCTCATGAGTTCTTATTACTATGAACTACAATGTTTTGTAGCAGTAGGTAGAAAGAAACATTAACAGAAAGTAAGTGTAAGGGGCTGTTGTTTTCCATGTTCACTTGGTTGATTTGCATCTGTAATGATGGCTTTGAGGTGCTTCTGTGTATTACAGTCATACATTCCTTAGTTTTTCATCTTACTTTATGCACTACATTTACAGTAAGCTTTTTCATTCTTTTCTTTCAGATGCTGGATGAAAATAACCATCTTATTCAGTGTATAATGGACTACCAGAATAAGGGAAAGGCGTCCGAGTGCTCCCAGTAAGACCCATAACTGCTCCTCGTATTTGCGAGTTGTTGTTTTACTTTTGAACTACAGTTTTAAATTTTACTTGTAGTTTTGTGGTACTGTCACCTCAGTCAGTTTGAGAAAATTTTCATCTCCCCAAAGAGAAACGTGTCTATTGGCCATTATTGAGATTCATTCTTTCTTTCTTTCTTTCTTTCTTTCTTTCTTTCTTTCTTTCTTTCTTTTTTTTTTTTGAGACAGGGTTTCTCTGTGTAGCCCTGCCTATCCTGAACTCACTCTGTAGACCAGGCTGGCCTGGAACTCAGAACTCAGATCCACCTGCTTCTGCCTCCTGAGAGCTGGGATTAAAGAAGTGGGCCACCATCTGTTAGTGTAGACTCACACTATTGGGGACCTTTGATGTAAATGGAGTCCAACAGTGTGTGGTCTGTTTTGACTGACTTCTTTCTCCCTCCCTCTGTACCTTTTGAAATAGGGTCTCATGAAGCCCAGCTGTCATCACACTCCCAACCCTGTCTCTGCCTGTCTGGTGCACTTGATGAGGGTGTGCCAAGCACCCAGCTCTGATTGACTTTTCACAAGGCATGTTTCCAAGGTTGATCAATGCTGCCACTCGCATTCTGTAGAATGCCAGATGATCTCCATTGTATTCTGTCATTTGGGTTGTTTCCAGTTCTCTCTCTGTTCATGATATTGCTTCTGAATATGTGGCTTTGTGTTTAAATGATTGTTTTACAAAAGAAAAGCCCTTTGTGGTGGGAGGCAGTGTCTTTTTTTATTTCTTACCCTATATTTATAATAATGACTTTAAACTTGTATAGAGCCTCATCTATAGAAAAATAAAAATCTTTGCTTGTCAGTGGTGGCACACACCTTTAATTCTAGCACTCAGGAGGCAGAGGTAGGTGGTTCTTTGAGTTCTCAGCCAGCCTAGTCAACAGCAAGTTCCTGGACAGCCAGGAACTACACAGATACATTCTGTTTCAAAGCACAAAGAAAAAGAAAAGCACACTCTTCAGGTATATACTGTTCAGGTAAATACAGTTATTTAGTTACTGCTGTACACACTGATTGAGAGGGCAAAACTTTATGTCTTAGAGAACTGATTGTCACTTACAAGGACCAAACTTTCATTTTAAAGTAGTCTCTATGAGGTAAATGATAGACCCTAATAGATTCATGTGAGAAGCCGGGCATGGCCAGGAATCCCAGCACCTTCAAGGCTAAGGCAGGCAAATTCTAGTTTCCTGAGTCACACCTCAGGATGCTGTCTTAAAGCAACAACCCCCCCCCCCAAATGGATCAAAAGAAGATCTGATGTGGTCGAATCGCCTATTTGTCAAGCATTCAGAGCATCAGTGTCCATCAGATACATGGAAATACAAGCTTTGTTTTCTAGTAGATGCCCTAGACGAAGAAGTGGCATGGATGTGCCTTACTTAGTTCATTGTTTAGAAAACACTGTCACCGTGATGTATACCTTACAGCAAAGCATGGAGAGAGCTCCACACTCATCTCCACCCTGAGCCGTGGGTCATTTGCTGTGTCCAGTGACTGCCGCACTGTAGGGCCCAGTTTTAAGGCTATTTCTCTCAGCCATATTCCGGGCCCATCCTTTCCTCGAAGTCTCATTGACCTGCTCCTGGGATTTGCTTTTCTGTCTCTGTTGGGTTCTGTGCTCTCCACCGATTTACTTTACCCCTGAATTCTGATTCTTTCCTTCTGTTTAAATTATTTTAAAAATAAAAACCCTCATGTTTAGTATTAGAAAACTTTTGGTAGTTATGCCTTAGTTCCCATGACATTATTTCCCTTCTCCTTGTATTTATATCAATGCACATATAATATAGATTGTGATAGTGTAGTGTTTATAGAAGTGATGTTTTTCCCTTTTTTCTTTCTTGTTAGCAAGGATCAAGTTTAGGATCGTGTTTCTGTTTGTCAGTGCTGTCTCCGCTGAGTGACTGTCTAGGCTCAGTTCTTAAATGAATCACTACATCACAGACCATGCTCCATCTGACAGATAACCTGCCAGAGTATGTTTGCTTTATTTCATCCCTGACCTGGTATCCACCCACCACTGCCAGAAGTACATACTGACCGTCTTTTACAAAATTCTGTGTATCTGACTGGGGAAAACTACCAGTTTTCAAACAAATGCTCCTTTCAAAGCATTTCCTACTTAATGAAAAAGGCTCAGTGATAGTACTAGAGATTACTGCATGTCCTTTACTGAGATTCTTCAGACGGTAATAGATTAGGTGCAAGTGCTCTTTGTTACATAGACATTTGAGAGTGAGTGCAGATACGATTCTCTTACTTGTAGGAAGCCAGTTTTCCCTAAAGTTGGGTGTGGATGCTTACACTGCTTGAGTTTAAATTATTGAAGTGACTGGGTCATAGTTTGCATTCAGTGGGTACCACGTCTTGTGGTTTGCTTTATCTTCAGCTGCTCCTCAGTCTCAGTGTTCCAGTGTTGATGCTGTTGCAGAATGCAGTTTCTCTGTGGGATGCTCCTCACTTAGGACCCAAGTATGTTTCTGCATACCGAAACTGACACTGTGCCCTATGTGTGGCATTGCTGTCACAATTGTAAAGTGATGTCCTGACTAATTCTACTTGAGCAGCAGCTTGATCAGTGCTGGTGGTAGCTTTAGTCTGCTGCCTTAAGGTGGTGCCTGCTGTTTTCTCCACCAGAGTTAATATTCCCTCTTTGTCAATTGTATGCATAACACCAGGCAGACACCTTGAGACACACATGACCTGTTCTCATTATACTTCAGCGTACCAATTTTAGTGTCCACTAATGTCTTAGCCTCCAGTGCTTGTTACTATGGTGGTTGTCAAGAGATGACCAGATCCACCACTCCTAAGCGTATTTGCAATTCTGCTGTGAGGAAGTCATCCTTCACCCCTTCCCGCCGTTCATTATTCCAGGTCTTTATGTGTAAATGGGTTTGTACATTTCCTGCTATATTCTCTACCTCATGCGCTATTCTGATACTGTGTTTTCTTTCTTGGCTTGTCCCAGATTTGACTACTGGGAGTTTTTCTGTCTGTCTTCTTGATAGCTATTATTTCCTTCCTTTCCTTCCCCTTCCTTTTCCTTTCCTCCTTCCTTCCAACAGGGTTTCTCTGTGTAGCCCCCGGCTGTCATGGAACTCACTCTGTAAACCAGGCTGGCTTTGAATTCACCAAGATCCTGCTTACCTCTGCCTCCTGAGTGCTGGGATTAAAGCATTTTATTTTCCCTCCCCCTTGAAATGTTTTTAGTTTTACCTTGTATTTCTTCTTGTACAAATTTGGAATCATCCAGTTCTCTAAGAGCGGATTGCAGTTGTTTTATCTGTTTGCATATAGGCTGAACTGTAGAAACCAAACTGTTGTTATCAGAGCTTTCTTTCTAATGACTTGCACATTTTGCATTAGTATGGCCATTTCCATTTATGTACTTTGTTTCTTCAGTAGACTTTGTCTGGCTCTGTCCATGTGCCTTTGCCATGGGTCATCTTCATTTGTGAGGTTGCCCTGAAGCCAGGTGTGGAGGTGCTGCTGGAGTGAGTTTGCACTAAGGCTTTTAGGTGGAGCCGAAGGGTTTTGTGGTGGAGGACAGGTTTCGTGTTCAAGTATGGCCGGGTTAGGGGGTAGCGAATGTCCCAGCTGCGACCAGCTTTTCCAGCTTTGTCATGGTGACTTGTCATCATGCCTTCTCCGCACGCCGGGATAGGCATCGTAGGACTTTCTCTCCTATTTCATGCAGCTGGGGCTTAGATTGGTTTAAGATGGAAACTCAAATTTTACTTTCTCATGAATTTTATAACTCCCACCTTTAATCAAAAGGGCCTTGCTGTGTCATGTGGGGCTGTCCAGAATTTTAGGGGTTTGGAATTTTATGTTTTTCAAGATCATACATTCTTTCACAATTTCATACCGATAAAAATGTACTCTGATATTCTCCCCATTATGGTCTCTTACTCTCGACTGCCAAACTCTTCTTCCTGGAAAGTCTCCCTGCTTTTATGTTTTTATTTTAGTGTGTGTGTGGGCGCGTGTGTGTGGTGGTACTTATGTGTCGTGTATAGTATGGTAGCATGTGTAGTGTGTGTGTGTGTGTGTGTGTGTGTGTGTAGAGTGTGGTATCTGTGTATTGTGGTGGCGTGTGTAGTATTTTGTGTGTGTAGAGTGGTGTCTGTATTACGGTGTGTGTGTGTTCCTTCCCTTCCAGCCTCAGAGGAGCTTGATCAGCAGGTGTGAGCTGCCGCTCTGCCTTGCCGGGTTTGCCTTCCTTCTGACTTCTTTTGGTATTCCTTCTTTCTCAAGTTGTCAGGGCAGTTTGGGAATAAAGAAAGAAAATCTTGTGCTTTCAACACTGACAAATGCTCCTGTTTCCTCATGGGGAAAGTGAAAAGAAAATGTAGAGAAACATTAAAAAATGCCAACTATCTGGGAATTGATAGTCCGACATTGATTAAATGTTTCCTTTGTATGCCACTTCTTAAATTAAAAATAACTTCTTCCACCATGCGTGAGAGTGGGCTCTTGAGGCCACACTCTCTAGGGCTGTAGGCAGTTAGTGGTGCAGGGAGAACCCCAGCTAGGAGATGCAGAGTCTTGGTCCCCAGTGGTGTGACATTGGGGAGCTGCCCTTGGCCAAGTAAATAACCCCAGCCCTATCTCACAGGCAGTGGATCCCCAACCCCATTGTGAAAGAAAACATGAACTTGGAAAGCATAAATCCTCCCTTCATACACACACACAAGGACACAGAAGGCTCAGGCAGGAGGATCACCATGAATTCAAGGCCACTCTAGACCATATAATGAGACCCTGTTCAAAAAAAGTGAACCAAGCAAACCCTTGCTGTGTTCTAACCATTGACAGTTTATGCATGTAAGACAAGACAGGAGCCCATCCTCCCAGAGTCTAGTGGTGATTCGTTCCGGATGTGTCTGGCTGTCTTCATCAGCAGACACAGGCTACCCACAGTGTCTGTGTCAGTGGTCTGAAGATAGGCCTTACAGCGTTCGTTAGCACATGTTTGAGACTTAGACTTCCTTCATGTGGTGTGAATGTTATCCGAATCGGTCCAGAGTTTGCTTTAATTAGCAGTCTCCTTTGGTGTTTTAGGATGGATACAACTATTTCGGTGTTTCATAAGTTTTAATGTCAAAAATTAGTATTTGTCATCATTTAATGGAATTTTAGTTTGTTACTGCTTGCCAAGGTAACTTTTATTCTATAAACCAGTACCAGCTTCAGTAAGTGTTCTGTGTTAAAGTTATTTTTAAATTAAATCTAAGCTTCAGATTTTATTTTTCTTTTTGAGACAGGGTTTCTCTGTGTAACAACTCTGGCTGTGGTAGAAGTCACTCTGTAGACCAGGTTGACCCATAGTGCTGGGATTAAAGGCGTGAGCCACCACTGCCTGGCTCATACTAATTTTTAATTAATAAACTTAAGCCTGCTATTTTATGTGTGGTGATTTTAGTGGGAGTCTTTTGTGACCATAAACGTTTGTAAGTATCTGTCTGGACTTATTAGGACCGGTTAGTCATCAAACATAAGATTTTGATGGGTCTTGTGTTTCGGATAGCTTTCACCAGTTACGGTTGTCATAGTTAAGATGCTGAATTTGGCTGGGCAGTGGTGGCTCAATCCTTTGATCCCAGCCCTCGGGAGGCTGAGCCGCACCTACAGAGCAAGGGCCAGGACAGGCTCCAAAGCTACAGAGAAACCATGTCTCCACAAACCCCAAACCGAACAAACAGATGTTGAATGTGTTGGTAATCTCCCAATAGTGTACATATTCAGCTTTCTTGTGTTAACAAGGTTTGCTTGCATTTAAAGATAGGGATACCAACAAAAGGCAGTGTTAGCCCGCTTTGTCATCGTGTAAAGATCACAGAGCGCATTGCAGCGGCTGAAGTGGCATGGTCCTGCTTGGCAGGGAACTGTGGAGCTGGGTGAACCACTCCACTGTTGACTAGTGTAGACGTAGGAGCTCAGACTTACTAGAAAATGAAAGTTCTCAGGAAAATGTTCTTACTTTCATTCTGTAGTCTGAGCTGAGTTCAGATTCTGTGTTTTTTGTTGTTTCTTTTTTAAATTTTATTTTAGGTGACTTACATCCAAAATCAGAAGAGATGCAGAAATAGTAGAAATAAGCAAGTATTTGCTAATAATTTTTAATATTTGTTTAATTTAGCGGTAAGCTGGGGGATGAACATTACTTATTTTTTCTTATTGCAATTTTACTCAGGGTTCCTTTACCCTGGTTGATTGCTGTCTGCCTATAGTCTCAACTATAGGCGAGCGGATTACGGATCCAGACACAGCTCTGTCCCCAAAATAGGAAAAGATTGCTGAGTTAAAGCCTAGTCTGATTCATAGTCAGTACTGGGGCCAGCCTGGTCTATAAAATGGAGACCCTGTCTCAAAAATAAAAATAAAAGCACAAAAGGACTTGTTTTTTACCCACCTTCTTGTAAGAAAAGGATTTGTAGGCAGATGCACTGTCTTGTTTGGGGGTATTGATAATGAAGTATCATGTTTGCAACTGACTGTTAAATGGTTATAGCAAAAATATGTGTGCATAGACAAGAGTCAATGATAGGACAAATGCTATAAAGTAGCATCTGGAAGAGAGATGTAAAAGCTGACCCCCCCATTCCTGAAACTTCTGAAAACTTAAAGTCATTTAAAATTAATTAAAAGTTAGATTTGATGTGCGAGCAGGTATCTGAAATTACCTGAGCTGTGTTGTGTGTATAGACACAGGTACAAGTGGCTTTAAAGGTCTGCTGTCACTCCTGTTAGACAATCAAATGAAGCCTGGGACACTTAGTGTCCTTTCCAAGGCTGGCTGGGGCTAATCAGCATAATAACTACCAAGCTTGCTATGGTCTTGTGTAGGCACAGTCTTCAGCTGTACATTTTTATTTGCCGTGGTGTAGTTGGTGTTCCCAGAGCACTCAGGATCATACCAACATGCTAAACTCCAGAAGAAAAGGAGACTTAAGATGTAGTCTTTGGAAATCAGTGTGTCTCAACCACAAGTGGCTTGCTTGGGCCTAAGCTTGCTCAGGCGGTGAAAGTACTTGCCATCACCAAGCCTGGCTTTAGTCTGATTCCCCCTGGACCCACATGGTGGAAGTAGAAGCAACTCTGGTTGCAACTCAAGGCCTTCAGTACTGCTCCCACCACCACGAATAAAAATGAACAAAGTTTTGAGGGCTGGGTGTGTGGCATGCTCAGAAGGCAGAGGCCAGAATTTCAGCAGATCTCTAAGTTTGAGGCCAACTCTGATCTATAGACTATAGATGGCCTTTGTTTAAACCCCAAGGACCCTTATAAAAATACATCTCCGGTCAGATTAGGCATATGTGGGAGGAGGGGATCTGGAAGTGCAGGCTTCTCGGCATGGGAGTGGATCAGGAAGAACCAGGCCTTTCTTTCCCACAGTGGGGGAGATTGGTTTATGACAAGGTTAGGGAAGTACTTCAGTTTGAGTCTGAATTAGATACCTCATTTAGTTGAATAAAATTCTTTTGACACATTCATTTTTAATTTATAGCTAGTATCTATAATAATGAGTTTTGGTTTTTGAGGCCCGGCCTGCTATAACCCTAGCTCTAGCCTATGTTTCTGCCATCTTCTCAGGTGCTGGGTCACTGGCCCATGTCACTGTGTCTGCTCTCTGGACATTTTGCTGTGTTTTAAATTTGGTTGTGTGGGGCTTGCTCAGTCATGTACTGAGCCCAGACAGTGATTAGATTCCTGCCAGTTTTTTGTGTGTTTTATATGAGTTAACTTTAAAAATTATAAAGTGACTTTAGCAAATTATTAAGCGGTATTACCAAAAGCCATATCCCAGTTATATTTACCCAAGTATTAAAAATTTGTTTTATTGTTTTAAAGTGACTTGCCAATACTTTTAGTGTGCTATCATTTTGTTCATGTCTGCAGTTGGGATGCAGAGGCAGGTGGATCTCTGTGAGTTTGAGGCCTGTCTGGTCTACAGAGTGAGTTCCAGGTCAGCCAGGTATGTAGTGAGACCTTGTCTCAAAAAACCAACCAGGTGCAAAAAGCAGAAGGAAGGTGGGGGTGCAGGGTAAGCATATTTCATTGAACTTCTTTATTTTAGTTCCTGTAAAACCCAATAAACAAGTACTGTATGTCTGATGCTGATGTCAGTTATTTTTTGACTAGTCTTGGAATCATGCAACTCAGAGGTCTCTATCTAGACCATGATTCCTCAGTGGTAAGGAGAGTAAGAGCTGCCACTCATGTACTGGTTTACATATTAAATAGAGGTATGTGCCCAGAGACCGCACCGGACTGTTCTAGCTCATGGTGAGATTACTCCTGTTCCCCATTACCTTAATGTCTATTATGTGTCATTTGGAATTACTTTGCAGAGGAAATAGGAAAGGTTGAAGTGCTAATGAGTTCAGATAACACATCTTTCATTAAGAGCTTTCCAAAAATAGTTATACGTTGCTTGTATTTAACAGATAGGAAGATTTTTTCTAATATTGCATTTTTTTTTTTTTTGTTTCAATAGGTATCAGCAGATGTTGCATACTTAACCTGTATACCTTGCTACAATAGCAGATTCTAATCAGAATATGCAGTCCCTCCTGCCAGCAGTAAGTGCCTTGAAAGAGTCAATGTTTGAAGCTGCGTGATTTGGACAGTTTGTTTTGGTGATTTTGAATTTTGTGTTTAAATCCTGAATACCCTTGAGAACATGAGTCTATTCTACATCCCTACATTCCCTACTGTTTTCACTCATCTTATTTGGCTATTTTAATTCACTCAAAACACTCCCTACTCTGGGAAGTTGTGTCCATTCACCTGTCCACTTACCTACTTGTTTTGTTTTTAATACTAAGTAGATTGCTAATGAGTCTGGGGTATTTCACATCATTTCAATATTAAACACTTGCATATGAATCTTTAGTTATCAGGACTGCTATCCTTCACAACAAAGTTAACCAGTCTCTCAGCACCTTAGAATGTCCTGACGGTTTATCCTTTGAATATCTTCATTTATGTGTTGGGGAAACTGAGCCACATGTTGTGCAGATGTTATCATACTCTGAATTCGTCTCCCCAGTTTTCATAACATGTCCTTGCGTCTAAGAATTAGGTAGGCTCAGAGCTGGGTTTGATGTTATTCTGGGTACTGTGGAGCTCCTCTCGATGGTGTCAGGGCGGTGTAGTACTTTCTCAGATGTCACACGAGTTATCTTTGTGCCCAAGGAATGGAATTGCTGTTTTCAAGGCGTTTCCTTTTCACTTCATTTCATTTACTTGGGGATTAGGTACTTTGGAGACCAATTTGAATGCTTGGAACAGGACTTCATTACAAGATTTCTATGGTTATTGAGCATTTTTAGCAGACCTAACCAGAAAATGGTTTTAAGAATTTGAGATATAGGTGGAGTTTCTACTCCCATAAATTATTTCAGTTATTTTATTTTATTGTGACAAGGTCTCACTGTTTAGTGCTGACTGGCTTCTAAAATTTGCTATGTAGACAAGGCTGGCCTTAAACTCACAAAATCCACCTGCCTCTGCTGCCCAAATGCATGCACCAACATGCTCACTCACCCTCAGAAACTGTTTTTCCTAATTTAGATTTTGTTAGTATCACTTCTTATCTATAAGTTTGCAGTCAATTGCTTTATAGTGAATTATATAAAAACAATAAGATCCTTGACACCTGGGCCACATTCTGTTGGGGTTATCTGATACGTTTAGTTTTGAACGTGAAGTAATTTGTATGGATATTTATATTCATTACCCTTGAGTGCTGATTTCGGCTTACAATGTGGGAATTGGTTTGCTTCTGTTTGAGTCCAAACAATCAGTTCTTTGTCTTACATCTTTGAAAATGATTTTTTAAAATCTGGTTTGTTTGACCACCCCTGTGTCATGGATCTGTGTTGGACCTCTGTTGTGTTGGTTTTTCTAAATAAATTCCATGATCTTGTCATACCTGATAATATAGCTGTTCTTCCTTCTCTCAAGAGCCCTGCCACAGTTAACCCTTCAAATGTCCATACAATCTTCAAATGTCAACATGGCAGGTTATTGTCCAGCCCAAGCCTGTTGGGATTTTTCATTATTACCTGGACTTTAAGTCACTTTTGGGAAGAGTTGACACCTTATAAAATCGAGTCTTCCAAATCTAGGTGTTTATACTAATTCCTTAGTATTTGAGTTAAGTTTCCGGCTCCTCACCTGAAGTGCATAGTGCTGGGCACTTGATTCGGGGTGGGGTGTGCATGCACAGTGCGCCACAGCACTGTGACGATCAGAGGACAGCCCTATTCTCAGCCATGGAGTTATGTCCCGGGCTTCTTGTGCTGCTGTCTGAGCCCCTCTGTCTGCCTGTCTTTGTTTTTACTTAGCTTTGCTCTAACTGCATCTGCCATCTGCATGGAAGGGTGGTGGATCTTGAATCTTAGCCTTCAAGCCAAGACAATATACAAATAAATTATGCTAAAAAATCCAAAATTTCATATAACCTGGTATTGGAAAATAAATAATTTACTTTTTAAACATTGTATGTGTGTGCATTGTGTGCATGTTCGTATGTGTAGGTGTGTTCACATGTGTGGGCTGTGTGGAGGACGGAGGTTGGCTTTCATTATTTTTCTCAGTCGCTTCCTCTCTGGTCTTTTTGTGACAGGGTGTCTTATCTATAACCTGTTCCCTCGCTGGTCTGGGCAGGCTGGCGGACCAGTAAGCTCCAGGATCTGGGTGTTTTCCACCTCTCATCTTCTCCCAGCCCTTCCATGGGTGCACACAATCTGGAGTCAGTCTTCATGTTTGGGTGATAAGCACTGCACCACCCAGCCGCTATCCCAGCCCCATAACCTGACAGTGTTTATACAAGGACACAAAAGCATTTGCATAAAGCTGGGTGTTAAAGCATTGTTTCTATCACCCAAACCAACAACAGGAGCAAGTATTGGGGATGAGCTAAGAACAGATGCAGTAGCTGAGTAGTAGAATTCTGTACCTTGAATAGGGTTGGTTTATACAATAATAAAGAATGTATAAACAGTGCTGCTCTGGTTTTACATTGTCAAGCATGTTTATATAGGTCTGCTTTATTAAGTTTCAAGAAATGTTAAGCTTTTAGATTTCCTTATTTTTGCCCATGTTTATAAGTGTATAAGCTTATAAGCTTTTGTAATGTAAGCGAACTGATAGAGATATAAAAATAACAGAGTGGTGAGTGTGCAGTTATGTTGCTGTGGCACTGTACCTGAGCAAGCAGCTTAGGAATTAAATTTACTTGGCAATACGTTTCCAGAGATAGGAGTTTCTGGTCAGCTGGCTCCACTGCTTTTCCAGGAAGATGGAGACATCACGGAGCAAGGTCACAGAAGAGAGCCATTCGCTCTTGGCAGCCGGGAAGCAAGAACAGTTAGAAGGATGGGCAATGAGACTTAAAGGTACAGTGACCACATCTTCCAACTAGTCCCCACATTCCCGCTTTACTGCTTCCAAGTCTACTCAGAATTAGTCTAACAGTGGCTTCAAGTTGATTGGAAGTCAGAAACTTCGTGATGTGGTGGTTTCAGAGCTCCAGAGACATCCAGAAGTGTGCTCTACGTTCTCCCCGGGCTCCACTCAAGCTGTCAAATTGGCATTCAGGATTAATCAAGCATGGACTGCCTTTCATTTCCTTAATGTTGCTGAACATTTAATGGTATGATATTCATAAGCCATGAGTTGGATTCTAGCTTTTGCCAATGAAGTCGTATATATCCTAAGTACTTGGACCTGGAGAAGTGGGCCCAGGGCAGGAAGCTTCCTGCTGCAGGCAATGGTATCTTAGTCACTGTCCTATTGCTGTGGTAAAATGCCATCAACAAGGCAACTTCTAGAAGAGTTTACTGGGGCTTAAGTTGTAGAGAGGTTGGTCCAGGGTCATCATGGCGTGGGGAGGCAGAAGCAGGCATGGTGCTGGAGTAGTAGCTGAGAACTTAGAGAAAGAGCTAGCGGATGTGAGGGCGATCTGGCTGCGACATCTGTCACCCGGCTGATTTGGCTGATCAGGCTGGCTAGTCGGGTGTCCCCCTTTCCTCTCTCGCAGCTCCATGTGTGTCCCTCCCCATAGCTGCTAGTGTGGTCAAAGAGGATGACCTTCCTGGAATAGAGGAGGGCTGAGCAGCATACGAAGCTGCGCTCCTTGCTAACCTCTCAAGAAGGAGCTAGCTGGGAATTGCAGGGTTCAAACCCCCACCCCCACCCCCATGACACAGCTCTAATAAGGCCACACCTCCCAAACAGTTTGCCAGCTGAAACAAATATTCAAATGTACGAGCTTTCATTCAGACTACCATACACATGATGATTTGACTTGGGTCCCAGCACCCACAGGTAACCTAAGTGCTATAGGGCAGGGGGATGTAGATGGGTGGCAGCCAGCTTACCTCCAGGTGTAAACCCTCCAGGCACAGCAGTGGGCCAGGTCTCTGCTGAGGACCTCCAGCTGCCAGGTTCTACGTACAGAACACTCAGTGCCCTCACAGCTGACCAAGCCCACCCTGGAAAACTGCACCCTGAAAGTTCCACCCCGCCCTCAAGAAACTCCATATATAAACTCTGCTCTCTGTTCAGTGTCCTGCTGTTTCCTCAGCCTGAGCAGAGTCAGTCACTCTGGGTTTTTTCTCTCAGTAAATCTCTTGTATGAGATTTGTTGTGTGGTGTGACTGTGGTATTCTTGGCTAGACTGCCAGGATACTTTTCATCTGAGTTTACAATGCTTACAACAGGTACAATTTAATTTTCTGTGTTCTCAGGGGTCAGGCCTAGAGCTTAAATGTGCTAAAGCATGTTTTTCCCATAAGCGTGTCCTCTCAGACCTCAGCCACACTGTTTTGTTTTGGAAGCATGTTCTAGAAAATTCTCCTGAAAAGAGGAATCCCCCTTATTTGCTTTTCTTATGTAAAATTAAGCCGTGTGATGTCTATAATCCCAACACTTGGGAGTCTTACTAGGACAGTCACAGGGTCCAGGACAATCTGGCTTACAAGAGTAGACACCATTGCAATTAAAATGCTTGGGAATGACTCTTCAGTGATTAGAATGTTGGAGTTGGATACACTTGGGTTGTCAGAACTGGGGGAAGTGTGGTATTCAGTTTGTTACATAGGAAATACTTGCTCTCATGAATGAGAAAGATTGAGTTGACTGGGAGCCTCCTACTAAAACTGGGGAGAGTCCAGTTAATAGACAAGTGTCGAGTCCCAGGAAGTTTGGAGGATGGTCAATTCTGTAGATACAGGTGGGAGCATACTATGGAAGGTCACCCAGTCAGTTATTGTAGTTAGTATTGAGGTTTTTGTTTGTTTGTTTTTATTTTTGTTTTTCTAGCTTTCTAGTTGTGAGTTAGGATGATTTAGTTATGAAAATTAATTGATGACATCTAACACCTGCAGAAATTCAGTATTGCTTCTGAGGATCCTGATGTTTCTTGTGAGAATGAGTGAGTATGAGAGACCTTCCTTGGGTGTGTGTATATAGAAGGTACCATGAGAGACTAAACTCGGACTGGCTCAG